TATAAATCACAGATTCTTTTTTTTTTGTTCAATTTGCAGATTGCTTATTGTGATTCGGTTAGTGGTGTTAATTTTCTTCTTGACGTGGCGTATAAGTAATCCAAATCCAGATGCAATGTGGCTATGGGGAGTATCGATAGTATGTGAATTATGGTTTGCATTTTCATGGTTACTTGATATCCTTCCGAAATTCAATCCTATAAACAGAACAGCTGATTTAGCTGCACTGAAAGAAAAATTCGAAACACCGTCTCCTACTAACCCTCATGGTAGATCTGATCTACCAGGAGTTGATGTGTTCATTTCTACAGCTGATCCTGATAAAGAGCCTCCTCTTGTCACTGCTAATACTATACTTTCGATTCTTGCTGTCGAATATCCTGTTGAGAAAATATCTATTTACATATCTGATGATGGTGGTGCTATCTTTAACTTTGAAGCTATGGCTGAGGCTGTGATCTTTGGTCAGGTTAGTTTGTTTTCGTCTTGTCTATCTCAATTACGACTGGATTTAAGTTATATACACCGAGGGTGTGTAGTTAGACAGTTCGTTACCAATTTTTAGACAGTGTTATTATTAGTACTAATGCTAGCATTTTGTATTGTTTACCAAAGCTTTGGGTGCCATTTTGTCGAAAACATAACATTGAGCCAAGAAATCCAGACAGTTACTTCAGTCAGAAGACAGATCCAACGAAAAACAAGAAACGTCCTGATTTTGTGAAGGATCGACGTTGGATCAAGAGGGAGTATGATGAATTCAAGGTTAGGATCAACGGTCTACCAGATGTCATACGCAAAAGATGTGAGATGCATAACTCGAAAGAAGAAAAAAAGGAAAAGGCACTTGCAAAGGAGAACAACGGAGGGAGTGTTCCCGAAGATTTCAAGTTTCAAAAGGCAACTTGGATGGCTGATGGCACACATTGGCCTGGCACATGGTATGAGCCTATGGCTGACCATAAAAAAGGAGACCACGCTGGGATATTGCAAGTACAGTAATCGTTATCATGAACTTGTTATTGATATATTTGTTTGGCGTAATACATAAACAAAACACTCAAATTTGGTCTCAACTGACAACTAAACATCTCAACTCGTCCCCATTGTGTTTCGTGGACACTCGAGTTGAGGTGTCTAGATATGCATGCTCAAAGTTGGAGTGCTTTGAGTGTCTGTTTATGTATTACGCCTATTTGTTTTCCAATTTTTGACATATAGTACTTATGTTATCGTTGCAGATAATGAGCAAGGTGCCGGTAAATGATCCAATAATGGGAGGTCCCAATGAGAAGCAATTAGACTTCACTGGTATTGACATCCGACTTCCCATGTTTGCATATGTCTCTCGTGAGAAGCGTCCAGGTTATGATCATAACAAGAAGGCAGGAGCTATGAATGCTTTGGTGAGAGCTTCTGCAATTCTTTCAAATGGACCGTTCATACTCAACTTGGATTGTGATCATTACGTCTACAACTCCATGGCCATTCAAGAGGGTATGTGTTACATGATGGATCGTGGTGGTGATCGTATTTGCTACCTACAATTCCCTCAAAGATTCGAAGGAATTGATCCATCTGATAGATATGCTAATCATAACACAGTGTTTTTTGATGGTAAGAAATGTCTTAACTTTCCAAGTATCACAATGTGTTTTAGCATTAAAATCTAATATGTTATGATAACAGGAAATATGAGAGCTTTGGATGGTCTACAAGGTCCTGTATACGTCGGGACAGGATGTATGTTTAGGCGCTATGCACTCTACGGATTCCACCCACCTCGAGCTAATGAGTACACCGGCTTCCTTGGAAAAAACAAGAAACAAGCTAATGTTGCGTTGCCATCAGAACTAGACGACGATTCACAACCTTTAACAGGACATCCTGACTTGGACTTGCCAAAGCAATTTGGAAATTCCACAATGTTTGTTGAATCTATCGCGGTGGCTGAGTTTCAAGGCCGACCTCTAGCTGATCACATCACTGTTAAAAATGGAAGGCCACCTGGTGCCTTGCTCATCCCGCGTCCTCCTCTAGATGCACCTACTGTAGCTGAGGCAATTGCAGTCATCTCTTGCTGGTACTGTTTATAGAATTCTGCTCCCTCCGTTTCAATTTGTTTGTCTTAGGATTTTTATCGACTTACTAATGTGTTTATGATTGAAAGGTTTGAGGACAAAACAGAATGGGGAGATAGAATAGGATGGATTTATGGATCAGTGACAGAGGATGTGGTGACAGGATACAGAATGCACAATCGTGGATGGCGATCAGTCTACTGCATTACAAAAAGAGATGCATTCCGTGGGACTGCACCTATAAACCTGACTGATCGTTTACATCAGGTTCTGCGTTGGGCAACTGGTTCAGTTGAGATCTTCTACTCTCGTAACAATCCCATCCTTGCAAGCCCTCGTCTCAAGTTCTTACAACGCATTGCCTACTTCAACGTTGGTGTTTATCCTTTCACGTCAATATTCCTTGTTGTCTACTGTTTCATCCCAGCCTTCTGTCTCTTCACTGGCCAATTCATTGTACAAAACCTCAACGTCTTCTTTCTTTCGTACCTCTTACTTATCACCGTCACTCTTGTCCTCATTTCCCTCCTTGAAGTCAAATGGTCTGGTATAGCCCTTGAGGAACTATGGCGTAATGAACAATTTTGGCTCATCGGTGGCACGAGTGCTCACTTTGCTGCTGTTATACAAGGACTCTTGAAAGTTATAGCTGGTGTTGAGATTTCATTTACATTGACATCTAAGTCTGCTGCTGAAGATGAAGATGACATATATGCTGATTTATATGTTGTCAAATGGACTAGTCTTTTTATACTTCCATTAACCATTATGGTTGTTAACATAATGGCACTTGTTATTGGCATATCAAGAACAATATACAGTGTTATACCACAATGGAACAGGCTATTTGGTGGTGTATTCTTTAGCTTTTGGGTATTATCACATTTATATCCATTTGCTAAAGGGTTGATGGGAAGAAAAGGAAGAGTCTCAACTATTATATACATATGGTCAGGACTTATTGCTATTACTGTTTCTTTGCTTTGGATTACTCTTCAAAATAATGTTGAAGGGGGTGGGAACTTTACCATCTAGAATCAATCGTGACGAACAGTCATAGTCATGAACAACACCAACACAAAACAAAAGATGAATTTTACTGTATCATGTCTTTAGGGGTTTGGTTTTCTTTTGATTGTGTGATAGGGGAAAATGTCATGAATTTTCATGATTGTAATTTTATTGTTTTTTTTTTTTGATAAGAAAGTTATTAAGTATATTAATTAGATGGAGTGTTATAATAGGGTTTGTTAATGTAAAGGAGGAAAGTTGATAGCTAAAATGGTATTTATTTATCCATAAAGAAAAAAATAAGGAGAATTACACATACCTCTCAACCCCTACCCTCTTTTTTTTTTCATGTTTATATAATATAAGATCGATTAAATGCGTGCATTTGCAAGTTCATTTCTGGAGATGATGCTCATTTTCAGAGGCTCGAACCACCCTAATTAAGGGTGGAGAGATCTCAACAATTGCACTAGAACCCATTATTACTCCTTTGTTTGTTCAACGCATTTAATTGACCCATGATAAATTATATCTTGTCAAAGTACTTCCAATTTATTTTATTTTTACAAAAAAAAAATTGATATGCTATAAATTTCCATAATAAAGAAAAACATATTTTTTTTTAGATACTAAGAAATTATAAAATAAACAAACAAAGAAATTAAAATTTAATTAGAATTAAGCGACTTAGGTAATAATGACCTACATTTTAATTAATCGATATATCTATTTATTTTATAGACTCATCTCATTTTAATCTATCAAAATTTAACTATAGCACGAATGTAACTTCACTCAAACACACATATACAAACATGCATTATTCATTATTGCATCAAAAACCAAAATACACCTTGCAATTAATTAGGGAAATAGATTAAAATATATTAATGAGGTTAGTAGTAAAAAGGAAAGGGAAGAGTTATTTTAGGAAATTAAATAATTTATAAAAATGATGAATGAATAAGTAGCATATGATAATTTTTTTGCCCAATTTGTTTTATATCCTTCATTCTATGGATGTATAGATTTGGAAATAACTTGATTAATTAATCATTAGTTTGCATCATTTACCAAAATCAAGTAATTGCAATGGCTATATATTTTGGACAATTTCATACATATTTTTCACCATCTTTTGAGTTTTGAATATTAAAACATATTTTTCATGGCTACTACAAAATTCTCCTTCTCATCAATTTTGCTACTTTGCTTAATTTTCTTTTCTTTGTTACCTCTCCATCAATGTATGTTCACATTCATTTTTATACTTTTAAAATTATTATGAATTATTAGTATATAAAACTTAACCGATTTTATATGTCTTTTTTTTTTTATGAAATGCAGGCGATGAACGTATTCGTGTCGAGGTAAAAGATTCCGATCCATGCTTCAGGGCTTTTGAACCATCAAGTCGATGGTGTTGTGAATTGGTTAAACCAAATAAATGCTATCCTTCTCAACAAGCATGTCATGATAATTGTCACTAATGATAAATTTTCAATAATAATAATGTTTTATTAGGGAAAACATTATGTGTTTCCTCAATAAGCTTTTATGTTGTGAGCTTTGTTGATGTTTAATTAAATAAAAGAATGATTTTCATTAATAAAGTTCAATTTCAATTATCAATATATATATTCTCATCATATTTATTTTATATATTTTGTTTAAATTCATATATATATATAGAGAGAGAGAGAGAGAGTTGTGCATGAGCCAAATAACATTAATTTTTTTTTTGCAATTGGTTAACATGTTTTATCTTCAATTACTTATTTCAGATTATTTTGAAGATTTATGATTATATACCAATTAATATGATTATCGTTGTAGAATATTCATGACAATCATAATTTAAGAGGCATAAAAAATTTCAAATTGACCAACGAAATCGAATGAAATAAATTGCAAACGTAAAACGGAGCCCACAATTTCAAGTAAAAAATTGAAATACATGCTTAATTGAATGAAATAAAAATAAAAAAAGGAATCTATTGAAGTAAAAAAAAAACTATTCTCCTCAAATTTGTGGCATTTTATTAACAACAAATAATTTATTGTGCCATGGAAGTAAATAAAACTAAATTAGGAAAAACGGAAATCTATTTTCACAATGGGCTCTCAAACTCCAACTGATTTCAAGGACTCAATTTTTCTTGGCCTGCCATAAATAAATAAACAAATTTAAACATTTAAAGGATTAGAAGGATTGATGGATCAAAGTATATATCACTAACATATTCAGAATAATTATACAAATAAAATTTGATGAGAACAAAATATAGGGAGATCTTATCTTTATCATTACATGTATTGGGGTTGTTTGGACCAAAATAGATAATGTAGTAAAAATGTACCTAGCTAGTACTAAACTTGCTAAATTTCTGATTGGAAAAATTTATTCATAATAAGAAAATGAGTACCTACATAACAGTTATGTATTGTTAAACATGTCATCGTAAGTAGTTGACTGTTTTTCGAAATCAGTTTCTCTATATAAGAAAATGAAAAGATATGTGTATATTTTATCGTTTCCCAAGATCACGCTTTTGGGACTATAATAGGTTGTTATTTTTCTATGTAGTCAATAAGAGTTTTATGTGTATCTTACACTTAGATACATGTATTTTTGGTACTAAATACACAAAAATTAGGGAGAGAAACGAGCAAGATTGGGGAGAAAGACAAGTGAGATTTGTATGTATCCCAAATGCATATGAATTATACACTCAATACACAATATATATATATATATATATATATATATATATATATATAT